CGCCATACTAACGCAATATTACATTATCGACTTTCACATCAACAGCGGCACGGCGCTGCCATAATCCGTACCGGAAAAAACTTTTACCCGTTCGCAAGACCCGTGCATAGTTATACTGTATAGGCCTTCAGCATCCTTTTTTCTAATAATCGTGAAGAACACCATTTAATGCCAACCGAATCCAAAGTTTTTTGTTTGTTTTTTAATGGGAATTTTATCTTTTTTTTTTTTTTTCTGGATAGTTACTTCTATATAATTATAAAAATATTTATATTTTTAGAAATCTTCAATTATTTTATTTTGATTCATCGGGTTTGAACACTTTAATTGCCATAAGTAAAAACAAAAACCATTATTTTTGTTTTTAACCATCTGATAATTTTGCACTTTAACAAGTGCAGTGTGTTTTTAGTTTTTTATTATATAGAAAAAAAAATTATACATTTGCTATTATTATTATTTTTTTTCTCTCAATACTGTCAGGTTCAAAAATGTATACGGTTTTTGAAGTTGTTTTTTTAACTTGGAGAAAAAAAAAAAAACAATTCACCTTTAAAACAAAAGCCCACCTGACTACGGCTTCTGTTCTTCTGCCATTTAACCGGAAACGATACATTTCTACATTTCTGCTAAGCTTCTCTTTCGGGTAGTTTGGTGTTGCATAACCGTAGGTAGTAAGAATATTGTCTCCTCTTCTCTTAACAGATGAACTTTTTTGTTTAATCGCGATTCTGATGGCTCAGCATATTCGGGAAGCAAGTTGTACAGACTTTTGGGGGAAGAGGGGGTGGGGGAGGGTGCGTTCTTTGCTTCGGTTTTGGTAATTTTGGGGGATCATTCTTACTCTAGCATCGGTAGTATTTATTTACAGTGACTCTTCTTACGTTCAAAGAAAATAAAAACTGTATTATATACATGCACCCTCCATTTTATTTTTTATTTTTTTTTTCTTTCTTTATAAAATCAAAATATATTAAAGAAAAAAAAAAACCCTCCAGGTGATCTAAATTTGTACTAATAATTTTCGAGCATTGTAAAAAATCATTTCTGAAATTAAATTACGACAATAGAAAAAAAAAAGATGAAAATAAGGAACAGCTTATGTTTTTGGACCAGATACATCCTAAATATAGAGCAATTTATCCAACTGT